CATACCTCGATTTAACGATTGAATGTCGACACATGACAAAGGTGAAAGCCAAACAGACCATCAAGTGTAAAATTTATGTGGAGCAGTTTTAAGCAGTTTTGTTAGCCTGTTCTTCAGTTTCTAGTGCTGCATAGCTTTATACAGCTCGGTATCGCACAGCAGGTATACTCACAGAAGTTTATCAAATCCGGGAAAATTAATCATTAACTATACCTCTGTAAAACGTCCATTTTTGATAAATTCCAAAAATTCACCAAAGCGAGGTTTTCGATTTTACAAACAAACAAATAACGTATTAACTGTAGTTAACAACGCCCTTGAATAAACGCTAATGCCACATCTGTTTAAAAGAATGAGGCGTTTACTCGAGTGTATTACGAAAAAGTTCGGTACAACTTAGTAATTTTCCATCATTCTATCTCAGCAAAATAGAGGAAACGATGTCGAAACAGAAGGCACCCCCGAATAAACGCCGTTTTGGAAACAAGGAGAAGCCAGAGGTTTTTCTTTTCCTATGCAAATTAAAATTTCAGACAAGAAAGGAGTTCCACTATGGCCAATCAAAAAATGCTCTTACTGTTCAAATTATACGATAGCTTCTTTAAACTCGCTCCTGAGATATTTTCTGTGCGATTCACTCAAAGAATCAGCGACATTGGACGGAATTTCAACATAATCCCAATTGAAATAGGGGAACCTCTTAATGATGCATCTCTTTGCGGTATGATAAAAGCGATTTGTTTCCTTCTTTGATGCTTTCCCTTTCGACTAATCTCCATCAACAGGATACACCCAGCGTTCTTTGTGAGCAAACACCAAATTGAATGGGATGACTTGCTTGCGTTGACAGAACTCGATTTCGCATGATTTACAAGTCCAGGCTTCTTGTGGCAGGAACATCAAAACAAATTGATTTTCATTATGGTGGATCTCAGTGAATGTCTCCCTTGCTTGACTACTTGGTTCTACTCCATTCCCACAAGATCTTTCCGGCCTATACGAGTTTTTATTTCTAGCCCCTTTCTTTCCTGCTGTATTCTTGTTGACGTCATACTCTGCGAGGGCCGTGCGGCTTCCTTTCTTTGATTTCTTCTTGAGGATATTAAAGTGTGTGGAGAGAATGGATTGACGTGCAGTCACAGCAATGGAGTGTTTACATATGTTGTCATGTCGATACCCGCCACAAACATATCCAACGTGACCACTGTAAACGGTCACCAGAACACTTCCATTCCTAGCACTTGGACTAGCCACTTCAAACTTTAGGTTTTCTTTCGGGGTCAGTGAGGCTTTGGGCTGAATGGCTGTTGGGTGNCAATGCAAGTCAAGTGCCAGAGAAGAACTGTTCGGCGGATCCCCATCATCTCGCAACAGTCATGCGCGAACACCCACGTTGTGGTAAGTCACGGATTGAACAGTCGACTCCATCCCAGCTCCTTCGCAGCTTTTTTGGTCTTATCGCACAGCACGCTTTCTTTCTCAAAGAAAGCGTTACATGACCAACAAGCAACGACCACGAAGGAGACTGGAGTCGACTCCCTAAAACAGGAAGAGAAATACGTTGTTAACAGTATCGATTGATACAGTTTATTACCTTCCCCCACCCCCAACCCCATTGTCCACACAAAACGTTCGAAAACACTGATGTAAAGGACAGAACGTGATTTTTTTCACGTCATCATTTTGATAAACATCTGTATTTACCTGTCCACAATAGAAATTGGGCGTTTTCAAAAGACTTCACTATTGAAATCGTCTTCGATAGTGTTCTCTTTCTTCAGGTGTCTTGGTTTGGACGAAAGCGGACTCGAGGCCCAGTCTCACCTCGGCCAGACCGATAGAAAACTACTTACTGTATTGCAGAATGCTCTCTGTGTGTGTTACTGCCAAGAATATGCATTTCGGATTTAACGCCGCAGTCAGAAATCCGAAATGTGCATTGCAAATATTCGCAATGCAGAACTTTATTAAGAGATCTGAACTGTCTTTTGCAAAAATTTGAACAAGTTAGATTTTTAGTCCGGAAATCTAAATTGAACACTACTAGTGTTCACATCAAATCAACTTGGTCGTTGGCTGCTTGAGATTCACAAGTTGGGACTTCAATTTTGAAATCTGAATTGTGCTTCTCAGATTAAGTTGCCTATGAATGAAATTTTCACTAAGAAAAAAA